TTTACAAGCAGTATCCAAAAAACTTTTAGTATGCTTATTTCTTATTCCAATCCTTGATCAAAACAAGGGTGACATTGAATTTTAATTCAACAAAGATGTGCCATCGGCACCAAACACAGAATTTACTAATGTAAAATCGTTAAACTATGTATTTGTTTCCTATGTTCACTGCACTGTAGATAACTTTACACCGTACATCATAAATTTTTTAAAAGCATAATCCACTGTAAAAATATGAATCCGTACATTGTACTTCCCTGCCTCTCACTCTTTCTCCTTTTCTTTATTCATTAAAGTTCTCATTGATTCATGCGCACCTTGTTTGCTTTTCCGATATCTTTAATAAACACTGCCATTGGTCAAGATAATGAGCTTTAGTGGTAAAACACTGCAGTTGTCAAGTTTATTATTTGTCTTTATTAAATTATTAGAATAAATGTTATATCTCTCCAATTGTTTATATTTTCATTTGATTCCTTGTCTTTGTTTTGCTTTACATATGACTACTTTTAACAGTTGGTTTATCTGGAGTACCCTATTATCATATTTATTTTTTCTAGTGTTCTTACCTATTTGTTTGGAATCTGCATGATATACTCTATAGCTAAAATCAATATTTTGATGAGGTATTATTTACCTGTAATTATCTTGATAAAATATTATCTTTGTGACATCATATTATGTCTGTACACATTTTTCCATGCATAAATATGATTTTGGGAAACAATTTCCTCATGATTTCCTTGATTTTATTCTTTGTATGTAGTGATCTTGCAGAAATGAGACTAGTGTTTAAAGAGATTTGAAAATCAAAGAAAGTGTGCTTATTATGCAGCTCTTGAACCACATTTCATGTCACCAGGTACTTAGTCTTGGGATCCCTTGAGATTCCTGGGGACTTTTTCAGAAGCTCTGTGATACCAAAACTATTTTATTGTAATCTGAAGGCATTGTCCTTACTTATGATGGTGTGGTAGAATTTTGCAGTATGTAAGTGTGATTTTACAACAGAATAAATACAGAAGCAACCACGATAATGTGACTCTCTACTATTTAAGACATGAATTAATGAAATTTGCACCACTATGAAACAGCATAACCCTACTCGATTTCTTGCCTTTGAAAATACAATTATTTTTACTGCTGAGGACAATGGTGTGCACCCATAGTCCCAGCTTTGCAGGAGGTTGAAGAAGAAGGATCATTGAACCCATATATTCAAGATCAGCCTGGGTAAAGTAAGACCCCCATCTTGAATATGCTACATATGTTAATGTTATAAGTTTAGTACCACTTTCAAAATCAATGAGATTTATAAAAATTTCTCAGTTTAAACTACTGATGCAGTAAATGGTTGTAACACGCAAAAGCAAAACCTCTTGGAGTCAGTATTTTTTTTAATGCAAGAAATTCCTGAGAATGTGTGCTTTACAATATGATCCCTGCTTCTAATGATGGTATCTCCTTGAGGAAAATTAAAATATCATCCTCTACATTTTCCCTCTTCCTGGCCTCCTGAGTTAAGCTAATGTAAACTATAGAAGTACTATTAGTCAGAGGTGACCGCTGGAAGTACAAAAATGAAGTCATAGCTCCTGTCATTTTTTCATTCAAATATGTTTGAATGTGTCTCTCCACACATATGGATGATCACATAATGGCCTTTAGTAATCTTTCTATACAAAGTAATTTATAGCAAATTATCCCTATATGTCTTTTTAAAGGCCAGTGCATGACCTCTGTCATTTTGTTGCTGTGGTTTGTTTTTAAATTTGTTCCTCTGGCAGTGCACAGCTACAAATCATGTTATCTAAGACTTACTACTTTTACCCAACTAGCTCTCCAAATTACTTTGCCTTTTGCTTTTGTTACATTGCTTTCGTTATATTGCTGCTGTTACTGTTGTTCAACTTGAACTTAGAACACAACCATATTTCTGTCCAAGAAAGGCAAAACAATGTGGTTTGAGAATCTTCATATAGTAGTACTCTATTAAATCAGAACTTACCAAGTCATTTTATATGTTTTTGTGTAGCTGTTTTTAGTGTCAATTTCTTTCCAAAGCTATGAGGCTTCTCAATTAGGTAAGAATCAAGGGAAGAGGATCAATATCTTTTATTTGTCCCAGCCTATGCAGGTTTTAGGTATGTTCTAAAGCGGTGAGATCCTTCTGTCTTCCACTCTGACCTTGAAACAGTATAGTCCTCCGAGGGATGTGGTGGGTTTTCTTTGGATATCACCCAAACAAAGCTAATCATGACAAGTTTTTCTTGTCTCTGTTTTTGCTTTCACTGCCTTCCCCTACAATATCCTCCCCATTCCTTCCTTACATCCTCACCCCTGAATGAGTCAAAAATAACAAGTTTTTTGAGCAGTTTCTGAAGAATCGTGTAATTGACAATGTCTCGGCTCCATCAGTACTAACTGGTGACTACACACCTCGCAGCCTCTTTGAGCTTTCCTTCCCTCATTTCCTCATTTTTGACGCAAGCACTGTATGATTTGCCTCATAGAGCTACTGTAAAGATTAAATAAGTTTATAAGTATCAGTTATTCATAAAAACGCTGGTAGGCTTCCATTGCCTCCTGCCCCCGCTGTGACAGGACACATGGATGGCTTCTGCCGAGACCCTTCCGTTGCAGGGCGGTTTTTTCCCCCCAGTTCCTCTCAGGAGTCAGTGGCTCCTCTGCTGCGAGTTCTCACACTGCTTCCTGTGAGGCTGAGGCGATGTCACCTGCCAGGAAACAGTCCCACAGAGAGTTTTTCTAAGGAGATTCAAGCTCAATTCCCTTCTGCAGAGTTCATACTGAGCCCATGAGAAATACGTATTCTTTTCCAGCTGTTATTTACAAGTAAATGAATCTCATTGAGGCTCCTCCTTTCTTGCCACCTCCAACAACCCTCTAATCTTTCCATTTTAGATGAGTGAGCCAGTTATCAGCTCCTGTTTCTTCCACTCACCGAGTGATCTTGAAACCACACTACCATCACTGCCACCATCTTACGTGGGTAGAAAGAAGGGATTCCCTGACTAGTTGCATGAACCAGGAAAGGAGAAAGATTACAGCATACTATCAACTTTTTTCTGTTAATCCCACAAAAAAAAAAAAAAAAAAAAAAAATGTGCCAAGAAAATGAACAGTCCATTCACAGAAGATAAAAACTAATGGAATGATAATCATTTAAAAAGCATAATTACACTAATTATCAGAAAGAGACAAATCAAATTTAAAGCAATCTTTACACTCCATTTTATATTGTAGCTCAGCAAAAGATACAGATTTAACAAAACATTTACACAAATACACACACATACATTTGAATAAATGAAAATCCATTGGAGCTTTTGAGAAAAGTGATTTTGGAATATATATTAAAATAAAAATCCTATGTACCTTTTGACTCCATTACTAAATCTATTTTACATATGCATCCTATCAAAATACTAGTAGAACTATGTAAATGTGCCAGTGATAGTAGATTTGTTACTGCTTTGTTAGCTTCCCTGCTGCTGAGCAAAATACTCAACAATCACAATTTGAAGCAGGAAATATTTATTTGACTCATGGTTTCAGAGAATTCAGTCCATGGTTGGTTGACTACACGGAAGAAATACTATGGTGGAAGGGGGTAATATAGTTGAGTTCATTTCAACAGAGTCTTTAGCTCATGATGGTTGAGAGCAGAGAAAGGAACAGCGCTAGAGAGGAGGAGGCCAGGGACCTGATGTAGTACCTATCGTCACACCTCCATGACTCACTCAGACATGCCCAAAAGTATTGTTTATTAATTGAGGCAGCTTCCAAGCCAGTCAAGCTGACAGTTAAGTTTAAGCATCACAACTGAATTTCTTAGAATTTTTAAAAAATTAGAATCAACTTGAATGACCAACAAAGCATTTAACAAATTTATGATGCATCCAACACAATAGACGCAAGAGTAAAATAAAATAATCTTAAGTGATAATAAACATATCAGACATATTAAGTGTAAAAAGCTATGTAAAAATTCCTATTAGTGACACATTTAAGTAAGAAAATTGAGAAAATCAAAGATATCTCCTTGTATATATATTTTCACATATGTAAATGTGTAGAAAAAATTGAAACCAATGATTTGATAAGAGAATTAAACTGATGAATAATTTTTGAAGAAGGAACTAGAACTGGGGAACAGATATCAGACAGGACTTCAGCATTTACAATGAGACTATGTGGAATTTCACACAACACTGAAAAAATGAATGCAGCTGCTAGAAATGATCTTTAAGACTTACTTCAATGATAACATTCAATTTTTATATTGACAGTTGGGTTTACTAATTCTCAAGACTCTGAGAGTGTTTATCATCAGCAAACTATCTTATTAAAGACATTAAATATTAAATAAATACTAGAACACATCTAAATATTTATTCAAGCAGTAATTATAAATGTTTTGCTATGGTTGTAGGTTTCCAAAATTATTCAGTTATGCTTTTCAGATAAAAACTAGACAAATTCCAATATATAACACCTTAACTTTATAATAATAATAGTTAATACTTTGAAAATTAACCTATTCTATCACAGAAGAGCTCAGGAACTAGTTCTGATTCATATGATAATATGCCTAATAAGAACTGTAATATTCTCTGAGGAAAAACATTTCATTCTTGGGATTAATTCTAAATAACAAATTACTTTTTATGTTTTGTTAACTACTCTTAAGTAGTCTCTGTGTGTGTGTGTGTGTGTGTGTGTGTGTGTGCTTGGGATTGAATACAGGGCCTCATGCATGCTAGGTAAGTGCTCTGTCACTATGCCACATTCTTAACACTCATGAGTTACTCATTAATGTATTTAATTTAAAACATGTTTTCCTTTGGGATATGTATTTTTAATCCATAATATGTGCATTGTTGAATCACATAATATTATGACAGTTCTTAAAAGATTAAATACAGATGCTGGAACCATAAACGGAATTACACAAATGTTCCTTATTTCCCCACATGCAGTACTTACATGAAAATGGGATCGTCCATCGTGATCTCAAACCAGAGAATCTTCTGTATGCCACCCCAGCTCCAGATGCACCACTTAAAATCGGTAATGACATTTTCTGATGTCTCAGGACTTCTTTTCCCAGAGCAGAAGAAATTTGTTCTGTGACATTTTATAATATTGCTCCATCCGTTATCGCCTCCATCCAACTTTATCTACTATTTGACATTTTGGAGGAATGATGCCTTGTTTCAGAAGTCTGCTTATTTTCCTAGAACATGGATCTATAAATTACCATTAGACACTGAATTTCCATCGCTGGACACACATGAGAGTCACAGCTTTTAATGGGCGTAAAGACCTCAGGACACGGCCTTGTGTTTAGTAGATAGATTTATAGTGAAAAAATTGAAAACTAAACATTTCCTCTTGGTTATTGACCTATTCCACAAATTATTTGGAGTTTGCTTAGATGATCAAGACCTTTGGCACAAAACACTTAGTCATATTAGTGCGTCTGGACCCTGAATCATTGGTTTACATAAACAGAGGTAAATTAAGGACTGTTTTTCCCAAAATGTACTCCACAGGACCCTGGTGCATCAGCAGGGTAAAGAGGGAGAGGGGATGATAGAGTGATTGCAGAAATGCTAGTTAGTCAAGCATAGGAAATTCCAACTTAAAAAAATTTTTTTTAATTTCTTCAGCACTTCCCAGAATCTTAAAAAATAACAATATGCAGGCTGATATACAGCATACCACAAGGTTTTTCTCAAAATTTATCCAACCAGCCCAAATATTTTGAAGAACTACAAAAACAAACTTGGAGAAAGTCTAATCTACCCAAATAAATCTTTAAATCAACATTTTAGGAAAAAATATATTAAATGCTATTTTCCATATAACTTCCAAAACAAATCTTTATTTCAAAAAATAAAGGCTTAAAAATTTTAGATATATTCCCCTTAAAGAACCTGCATTCAGTCCTGTCCCTGGAGGACACTATATTTCTGGCGCTGTCCTGGTGCACTAAGCCGATGTGTTTCCTGCGTTTACAAGTGTTAATACTTTGAAAATTAACCTATTCTATCACAGAAGAGCTCAGGAACAGAATTTGCTTCCTGAATTCACAAACCTAAAGAAAGGCCTGCAAGTCCTCCTGGGCAGGCAGCTTGTTCTCCTAATCACTCCTGAAAGCCCAGAGACAACAGGGGGTTTGCATTTCCTTTGACATCACTTTCAAAGATTTGATCCTTAAAGAAATGTCTTTAAATGGATGGATAGATACTAATTTAAGCAGGAGAGCTTTTCTTTCTGAAGGGCTTCCTGCTGCTTTTCCCTGATAAGGATCAGGCACCTCCGTGAAAATGTGGGTTTATCTTTGAAGTCTAAAATGGCATCCGTGCTGCGCCTGCCTCTCTTATAGAATGGCCTTGAGCAGTTTCCAGATGTTTCCTCTGAGACAGAGAGATGGACCCCAGCAAATAGATCGTAATGGTAGCAAGTCTCATAATATCTCACTCAGCTGACTCTCCAAGAAATAAATAAGATTTTTGCCAAAAAATGTCTTATGAGAGTAAATTTTTATCTGTCAGATATGTTAGGGATTCAGATGTTATTTATTTTCAGTCACAATAAGCTTTTTGATGTTTCTGTTTATTTTCATTTATGAAAGTCTAATTGTTTTTCTCCAACAATGGATTAAAAGTTCTGAATTATATTATGTTTGTGTTATCCCTTACAGTTACTGTCACATTAATCTCAAAAATTAGTAACATTTGACAATTATCCCAATGACTAAGAAAAAAAGCATAGCTTATTTCCTAAAAACTGAAGATATACAGAACAAGGATTATATACAAATGCATTTGTAAATGTGTTCAGGAATCATATTTTCTGCAAGGTAAAAGCTTAAAACATTTTTTAGCTTCCTCTGTCTGGTGTCTTGTCCTGGAACACATTCACCTCACCATCAAATATAAAAACAAACACATAAACTAGGTTCATTTTCAAAGAACAGAAGAGTGTGTAACAGCTGTAAAGAGGCTTGCTTCATTAGATTTTTTTTTCTCTTGTCTTGATAGCTGACTTTGGACTCTCTAAAATTGTGGAACATCAAGTGCTCATGAAGACAGTGTGCGGAACCCCAGGGTACTGCGGTATGCTCTTTAATACTGATGTTTTATCTTCGTAGACATCTATTCGTAATGACCTCTGTTTATTTTTACTTCCTAATGTCTCTTGTTTCTAAACACTTAAAATTTGGTGTGCAGCTCAATGAGAAGTCATAGAAATGATAGCTTTTGTCTTGTTCTTCCGGAGAGGTTCAAGGATGTTAGTTTTAGGACACCTCTGTTAAAATGTCTTCTGAGCAGGAGCTACTCTTGGACCTACTCAGGAGAAAGAAGATAATCACTAGAAAGGACTACATGTAAGCCTTTCATAATTTAATTTTGATCAGTTAATTTCCCTGGTAAATTTAAAATGCTATTTCCTTACAACTCATGAAGTATGTTAGTGCGTTCAGCCTGCTGTAACAAAAGTCCCGTAGAATGGGGATTTGTGAGTAACAAAAATTATTGCTGACAGATCTGAGTGCTAAGAAATCCAAGACTAAGCCACTAGCAAGGTTAATGTCTGATGAGAGTTGACTTTCTCATTCGTAGATGGTGCCTTCTCCTTAGTGTCTCACGTGGTGGAAGAGTTAATGGTTTCTCTCGGTCCTCTTTCATAAGGGGCTCCACGTTTGTAACTTAATTTACCTCCCTGAAGTCCTATCCTACAGCAATCAAATTAATAGACGTTAAGATTTCACGGTATGAACTTCAGGTGACAGACACATATAGACTAGCATTAAGAATGGGATCAGGAGGCTGAGGGTGTAGCTCCAATATAGAGTACATCACCAAGAAGTGCAAGACCCTGGGTTCAGTCCTAGTACCTAAAAAAAAAAAAATGATGTTGAATTGTACAGCTCATTGCCTCTATCATAAACTTATAAAGCAAGTTTCACAAATTTAGAAAAAAATATGAAAACCATTGCACTATAACATGCCTGATATAGCATCATCTTGTTTGGCTTTGATGTTTTTTGGTTAGTTTTTGTTTTTGTTTTTTACCTTAAAACTGTTCCCTTGACAATCTGTCTATAGACCTTCCTTCCTATTGGTGCCACAAATACTTTCCCTGTATCCAATTCAAATCACTGTATCACTTTAGTTGTACTCCTGCTTTATTTCTTTTCATGCCTCCAGATCTCCAAGATGGGGATGGGAATGTTCAGCTAAACTTGCTACCATGTGTTGAACAAGATCGCTCATTTCTCATCACTAATTACTTACCAATTGATAGGACTGAAAGAGAATTGAGAAAAGAATGATAAAACAAATTAAAAATTCCCCATAAGAAGAAAGCTGATGGACAACTTACTAATAATTATCTAAAGCCAAGCACTAAGTATTCCCAGTATGGGGGTAGTTTGCAACAATTTCCTGGGAACTGAACAAGCTTGGATTAGGGACGATCAGAAAGAGAGTAAACCAGTGATTTCTAAGGAGTCTCTCTGTGACTATAAGCAAGCAGTATCCTTTCAAGGTCTATAATTATAGCAGTGACCATTCTTCTTTCTTACAGCATTTCAGAGTGGTCATTTTATGAAAGAATGATTCATTCATTGATAAAATAAATGGTAAATGACTAATAAAAATCCATAGAAACCACTAAGGTTGCAAGGATAATCACATATGGGCTTGTTCTTTAATGATTTCATGGGCCACAAAAGAAGAAAAGTGTGTATGTGATAAATTGAAATTTGTTGTGATAATTTGAAATATGTTTATGTGAGTCAGATGCTCAGGGATAAGGAAGGAAGAGACTTGTTAGTCCTTGCTAGAAATATCTTACAGAGGATAGAATTAGAGCTGGATACTGATGGATGGACAGAAGTTCAACAGGGAGGGATGGTCATAGGCTTTCTTTGTGATTAGGCATACGGAGAGCAGAATCACGGAGGAGTGGTAGCACGTGACAGTTTCAGAAGCTATTTGACACTGCCACTTTGTTCAACTGGAACTTAGAGTCCTTGGTGCAGAGGTGCAGTTAGATTTATAAAGGTAGGATGGACCACATTTTCAAAGAATCTGTACATCAAGCTAAGAAATTCAGATGATTTTGTGTAATATTGATACAGCAAAGATTTATCTTTAGGATGGTATTTTGAAGTCAAGTTTGTATTTTACAAATATCTGGATTGTGACACATTATAGCAGATGGCTTTGAGGGGAAAAGAGATGACTTGAAAACAGACAAATTAGGAAGATATTGTAAATATCCTTTCATAGCCTTTTAATGTCAGAAATCTACACACATGCTGCTGTCCCTTAAATAGATGCTCGGGGGATAGCATATTTGACCTATTCATACATTCAAGAATCTTTAGATGTAAAATTATTGTAAAATGCTGTTTTCACCTCTTGTCCTTGACATAAACTGATTCAGTTTATAGGCAATGCCATTTTATAATGAAGGCCTAATTTTTTGTTTATTATTATGATTTGCCCTGCAGATAATGCCTATTAGGCCATTAATAAGAAAGGGCTCACTTATAAATGAGTCCCAAAAGAAAAATCACAGGATGTTCACATTTAGGCAAATACTCATTATTTTTCTTAGCAAATGTGAATGGTCAAAATGAAACCCCAGGCCATAAATTAAAATTTGGCTCAGGTAAATGTAATCAGTGACCATTGTTCTGTAATAGACCATGAAGAATTCTGCATTAGACAGATTTTCAGCATCTTGTCATTGAGAAAAGACATAGATCTGTAAAAACAAAGCAATAAAATAAAGAATAACTACTGGCCCATGGCTCTCAATAAATGTGCTCCACTATAACTGTACAATATTAACTTCCATGCCATAAAAGAAATAAAAGCTGTTAGTGTAGGAAAAAAATATAGTAATGAGTTAGGTAAAAGAATATTCCTAACACCAGTAATATAATTTATTCACAAGCTCAATTAAACTATGTATGTGCACATCTCATATTTATACTTCACTGTTTATTCAAATTCTATTTTCAGAGCCTGGAAGCTGTTAAGAACTTTCTTTTGACATTTGTCAAAGTCTCATTATTTTCTGTGGCAGTCCTTTTGGCATAATTCAGATGAAATATTAATACATAAAGTGTCCCACATGTTAGGCCCCAAGTGTAACAATGCTTTGCTGTTTTCAGGCTTTAGTAATGAGAAATATATATTGTACCTCTGTTTAAACCAAAATGAAAAGAATTCTTAAGAATTGAAGAATAAACTGCCACTATATGCAAAGATATCTGTACTTTGAGTGTATAGCCTCATGCTACCAATAATATTCTGGGAATTTTCTCATAGAAAAGAATACATGCATTTGATATAATCACACTGTGGCTGCCCCAGTCTTGAAAACTACCTTATAGGTAGTGAATGGTACCATTATTATCACTAATCATCAACAGATCTGGTCTTACAAAAGATGGTTAAGTGTAGAGCTAACTACCAGCATGTGAAGGAGGATGAAATGGTAAGGTGACAAGTAAAAGAGTACCTAACCCTCTAATCCTGAAAAATGGTCTAGAAAGAGATCTCCTAAAGGGTCAACAAGTAGTGATAAACTCAGAAAACTGAATGTCTTTAATTCCACGTCCAATGGTAAGATCATGTATACATTTCTCACCCACGATAAGGTATATCTGGTATCTTTCATTATTGCTTTTACCACACAGTGACAAGGTGGCTAGAGGCATGGGTGGGCCATATTGTGGTTGTCATCTAACCATTGCTCACAGGAGTAGATGGCTGGTTGTTTTTGTGGTTGCTGTGTGTGCATATTTTCACACTGTGCTAGGCTTGGGAGCCGCAGGACTAGATCCCACCGTAGTGCCACCTTGAGGACATTCATAAGAACTTCTAAATCTCATCTCCACAACAATACAATGAGAATAATAATAACACCTATTACTAGCATCATGGTGAGGAAAACAATAAAATGATGTATGTAAAGTTCTTAGCATAGTACCCAAGAATGCGAGAAACAATAGGTGTTATAAAAGTAATTCTAGTAATTATCAATATATAATTGTTTTATTGTTATTTATTATTAAAATCTATCCATTTCTTTGCTGATTTCCTCCAGTTTTTCTGTTTCATCCTCACAATAGTAAGTCCTAGTTGAGGAACTGTGTTCAAGGCCTTTGAAATCGTACATTTTTTTTAACATAAAAGACACATTTTTAAAACTTCTTCCTAAGATTAACACAAGTTGAATATTTTCTGATTTTTAGTATTTTTGTGACAGATTTTTAACAGTTTTCTAGATTTTTAAACTCACTAAATATGAATGATGAATGCTAAGAATGGAGAGTAGGTTTTGAAAAGGCAAACCATAAAAAGACATAAAAATTTAACACAACCTTTTAAAGACCCAGTTGGTTTTTCAAGTAATACTTTTGTTAATAATTTTACTAAGTAACTATGGACTTATGCAGGAAAAATGTTTCTACAAAATTGGAAGTAATTGGATTAAAAACAGGATCTGAATGAAGCAAGCAATGTGCTAAACTTCGCTGAGTGAGTTGCAACATCTGGTCTGTCAGCGCCCCTGTGTGTGGGGCTGGGGAGCCGTGTGTGCTGCTTTGTGTTTGCTCATGGACGGCAGTGATCTCAACAGAGTAAGCACTGAGCTCTGACAGGCTTCATTAAGGGAATTCAAGTTTGTGTGAATAGCTGTTGGGTGAATGGGTTTCCAGTATGTCTTATAGGTAGAGAAAAAAGAATTAAATTTTAGCTCAATATTTTAACAGGTTCAAAAGCAGAAGAACACACACACACACGCACACACACGCACACACACACACACACACACACTCCTTACAGAGCCATTTTCGAGAGTCTAGAAACTCAAAGCTTCTAAATAAGAAAAATTTTGTATTTATTGGAATACATCAGGCAGACCCAATGTTTCAACATATCATGTATGTAAATATTGACACTCAGATTATTCCTTTAAATACTGCTAACAAAACCCTTTTCCAAGAGCACAGAACACCATAAAGCAAGTCTTCTCTTCTATTAGTGCCAGTTCTTGATTACAGCAATAATTGTGAAGCAATCACATTACTTTT